TTTACTATTTCATTTGTTCATGTTAAAAACACTGAATTGAATTAAATCGCATATTTCTTGGGAATGCTTGAAATTAGAATATACAAATTTTTGACAATTTTTGTCAAAAATTGAGGTTGCTTATTTTGCGTTATTAATATATTGTATTTTGTTGTTTTCTGTTTTCTGTTTTATTTTCAACAATAATTGAATTAGCTTAATGTAACATTTTTTTTAAAAAATATTCTTTTTCTGGAATAAGAATTGTGTATTATAAAACACTTATTCATTTATTATAAAAAATTTTAATATGATATTTTCTTAAAGTTGTTTTCGTTTAACGGCTTTAATGCATTTTTGATCCGGTAATCTTAAAAAATTATTTTCGGAGTATATTGCAAGTACATTTTCTATAAAAGTGATGCATGACAATAAAGTTTAATATATATGTATTTACTATATATATGTATGTATTTTACTAACTATATGCAGTAAATAAAAAATATTTTGCATGGAGCATCTTTTCAGCTAACCCTCATTGTGTATCATTTGTTACTTGTTACTTTTTTCACCGATTTAAATTTTACTTTATTATGTAGAAACGAGTGGATAAAGCACTTAGGAGTCAGAGAGACAAACAAAAATATTTTCGCTTGTAGTAATCATTTTTCGGCGAATATGATGTGTACAAAGAATTTAACAAAAAGCGCTGTTTCTGATCAAAATTTAGCTTTAAGTTATCTTAATTCTTTACGCATTCATGATGACAATGAAGGTGGTGTAGTTAATAAATCTATAAGTCCCAAACTGTCTACATCAGCTAGGCCATTATTGAATAGTAATACTATATCTGTTTCTGAAAGAATCCCTAGAAAAAGAAAATTAAGAGTCGATTTTACAGCTGTAGTTAAAATATTAAAAACTGTAGAAAAAGTTGTTGAGGAAAAAGATATTATAATCCAATTAAAAGATGAGCAAATGCGTTTAGGTAATGAAAGACTAGCAAAGCTGGAGTTAGATAATATAGAATTGCAAAAAAAACTTTCTGAATGTAAATCATTAAGTAGTGTAGCAGAAAGGTCTGAAGTTGATTTTTTAAATGAACTTTGTGACAAACTTCCACAAAGTTTGCAGATATCCCTTAGAAATAGCTTAGAGAACTGCAGTCGTCTGCCAAACGGCTGCAGATATAATACGCAATGGAAAACTATCGCCTTAGGAGTTTATTTTCTTTTACCCTTAACTTATCGACATTTACGTCAAAGTTTTAATTGACCATGTGAACGAACATTAAGAAATTTTGTTCAAAGCTGGCCAAACTCTCCTGGCTGTACTCATAGCAGCATTAAGGCCTTGGAGTTCCGAAGTCGCGGATTTACATACGAACAGAGATTTGTTTCGATATTCTGCGATGAAATGTTTTTACGTGCTCACCTCCAATATGATAGGCACAATGATAAAATTATTGGCCTTGAAGATTTTAGTGACGAAGACCGTACTTGCAAAACCGCAAGTGCTGTCTTGTCTTATCAAAGACGTCCAAGATAGAAATATTATTAATAATTTTTCCTTTATTAAAGGATGGCTCCTTAATGTTAACAGCATTCGTTGTATGTGGCAATATTTATTCTCGAAATGTTTTAAAATCATAATGACTAGAAAACTTTGCCAAAATGTGCTTGAGCACTTTTTTGGGCAAATACGAAGAGGAGGGGGGAATGCTAAATCTATAATATCAGACTTATTCATAACCCTCTTTTAAAAGGGTTGGGGTCTTAGCTATCTGAATGTTGTCAACAAAGGCAATTGCGAGGCACTTGTAGAATTAGATTGTCCATCATTCGTAGCTTCTATTAATGATCCCAGTTTAAATAGTTGTAATGAAACCGTTGAAAATGTTTGCAATGATACGTTAGGGAAAGATACTTAATGGCAGTATACGGAATCATTTTGTACTTAAAAATATTTAAGTTACTTCATTGTTTAGCTTCCCTACCTTGCACAAATAATGTTTCAAGTGATTACCTCTTCACACTTGAAAAAGAATTTGATGTTTGCAGCTTGGTACATCCTCCTAGCGACTTTATTAGTTATATTAGAAGATTAGATGAAGAATTTTGTACTTATTTTGAAAAAAATTATTCTAAGGTAGGTATAGCTCAATTTTTATAAAAAAGTTGGCTAATATACGCCCAAACCAGCTGCCAAAATTGCAAACCAGACAGTTTATTAATTCTTTTCATAAGAATGCGAATGCATTTTATTTTAAAAATTTTTAATAGGGACCTAAGTACCTCTGATTTCAAGCATAAGCTTCTAAGGGTAAGTCATATGTGAGTTCCTGATAAGCATTTTCTTTGTACTCTTTTCAAATGTGCACAAATTTAAATTACATAGATATAAACATTTTTTTAATAGTTTTTATGAAGGAAATATATAAGGAAATATATCTATAAATGCGATGGCCTTTCGATTTAATTAACTACATACACCTTCACTTGTGTTTTCTAAATAAAAATTCACATAATTTCATGTTATTATTATAAGAATATTTTTCAAAATTAACTACTATATCACAATTTTATTTTTTTATTAAGTAAAATGTTATAAATTTGTTTCTAATTTTGTTTTTAAATTTTAATTTTTTTCATGTAAAGATATTATATAATATTTATAATTAGCCAGTACAATTATTTAGTCCCAGATATTAATATCATATTGAACATTTTTTAGTATATTATTTAAAAGAGATAATTTATTTTATATAAATATTGTTCATTATGTACGCAAATAATATATATTGTTTTAAACAAATTTTTTTTTTTTTTTTTAAAACATACATTTATTTATTGCATCTTCTCTTAAAATGAGACTAACAATAAGTTGTAAAAACTTATAACTAACTACATAATGTTACAAATTTTTATTTTAACTGTACATTGTATAAAATAAAATAAAATAAAATAAAATAAGTAAACCTTATATCACGAACCTCACCTAGATTAATGGGTTAAATTTCATTGGAGTGAATGTTAGGTGGTTTCTTAAGAAAGTGGTTCAACTTTAACAGACTACTAAAAAGAAAGGTGCGGTTATTACTTAAAGTTGTTGAATATTAATTAACGGCTGGACGGTCAGCTCTTTTTAGACGGGAAGTAATGGATAGAAGTGCGAGATTTCTTGCTAAGGGATTAACATGCTCTGTCAGCCTTTTATTGTATTTTTTCTTATATTGTCAAATTCAGCTTTAACTAGGGAAATTTGTAGACCTCGGTGTATAATTTCCTAATATACCATAAGGCACCAGTGATAATTCTTAGTATTTTTGATTGAGCTCTTTGTATAATTTCAATATTTGAAGCACTAGCCAAATAGCTGGATACCATAAGTCCATATTGGTTTTATGATGATGTTATACAAGAGTACTTTATACTCTAGGCACAGGTGAGATCTGCTATTAATGACCCAATACAACTTAGAGGCTTGAAGCTTCATCTGAATTTTTTTCAGCTTTAATATGTTTACGCCAAGTTAGTCATCTGTCTAGGTGAATACCTAAGTACGTTATATCTGGCCATCTGCTTGTGGTATGGGAATGTTATTTAGTAAAATTGTTGGAGATGTACTCCGATTTAAGGTAAAAGTGACGTGTCTACATTTTACTTCGTTAATTTTAATTCGCCATTTTCTCCACCTGAAATAAATGAGATTTAAGTTGGTTTGAAGCTCGCACAGCGATTTTGTTTCGACATAAAATTGCCGTATCATCGGCAAACGTTGTGGTGACAACTGAACTACTTATCGGGATATCAGATGTGTAAAGTACATACAATATAGGGCCAAGAATGCTTTCTTGTGGCACGCCAGCTTTTATTGGAAAATTATTAGAAGTATATGATTTACATTTCACTTTAAAGCTTCTATT